CAAATAGCGTACTATAATTTTTTATTCTGTGCTGTGTAGTGAGTGTGTTTACTTCTTGTGTTGGTGTTTGCAGAGTTGTTCTGTTGTAGTGATGCGGCGTGGCCCTAGTCCTCTGCGCACTAGCCTAACCCTAACTAACCCCAACTACAAGCACCAACCCTAACACCACTAACCAAGTGGACAATGATGCTGGGGGTTGCATGGATAACAAAGTTAAGTGCTGTGAGAGTGTTGTCCACGTTTCAGCTTAGACAGACTTAAAAATGGAATTCCAGTGTACAACTGAATAGTATTCCAGCGTACGTTGTGACTAAAAATACGCTAGTGTCCTGTAGCTGTTGTCACTAACAAAACCAAAGCTGTAACTCCAGTGAAGGTACACTGCAACTACCCATTTGGGATAGAACCTTCTAATGAACGTCAGATACAGACTGCCCTTCAGGCTCTTAAACAAGACGCGACACTCTCTCAGCGACGCGCTGCAGCTATCTACAACGTCGCTCAATCAACACTAAGCCGCCGACGCGCAGGACAGACTCCACAAGCAGATTACTGGCCCAAATCAAAGAATCTGACTAAGATTGAGGAGGACGTAGTTGTTGAGCATATACTTGAGCTAGTCACCCGAGGATTTCCCCCCAGGCTTGCAGCTGTGGCTGATATGGCCAATTCTTTGCGCGCAGAGCGCAATATGGGCCAAGTTGGCTCAAACTGGCCCAGTACGTTTGTCAAAGGCCGCCCTGAGCTCACAACAAAGTTTAATCGCAAATACGACTACAAGAGAGCCCTCTGCGAGGATCCTGAGATTATACAAGGCTGGTTTGGCCTAGCAGCCAACATCAAAGCTAAGTATGGCATCCTGGATAAAGATACGTTCAACTTTAACGAGGCTGGCTTCATGATGGGCCAGATATCTACTAGTTCAGTTGTTACAGCTTTAGAGAGACGAGGACGGCCAAAGGTAGTGCAGCAAGGCAACAGAGAGTGGACAACAGTCATCCAGGGCATCAACGCGACAGGGTGGGCCATTCTACCCTTCATTATCTTCAAGGGCCGCCATCACCTCTCTGCCTGGTACAAGGAGGGGGATCTACCTCACGATTGGGTTATCGCAGTATCTGAGAACGGCTGGACAACAAATAAGCTTAGCCTGCAGTGGTTGAAGCACTTTGATAAGCATACAAAGAAGAGAGTAGTTAGCAGCCACCGACTGCTCGCAATCGACGGCCATGAGAGCCATGACTCGCTCGCTTTCCAGGAATACTGCAAGGAGAACAAGATTATCACTATCTGCATGCCTCCACACTCATCACACCTCCTGCAGCCTCTTGATGTGGGGTGTTTCTCGCCTTTGAAGACAGCGTATGGCCGCCAAGCTGAGAATCTCATGCGCAACTAGATTACCCACATCACAAAGCTTGAGTTCTTACCATGCTTTATACGCGCCTATAATGCAGCAATTACTCCTAGTAATATCCAAGGAGGGTTTCGAGGCGCTGGATTAGTCCCCTTTGACCTAGAACGGGTTATAATGGCGCTTGATGTCCGGCTACGTACTCCATCACCACTACTCCCCAGCAATAAGCCCTGGCAGTCGCAAACCCCAAGCAATACCCTTGAATTAGGATTGCAATCAACGCTCGTGAAGGCAAGGATTCAGAGGCATGTAGATAGCTCACCAACGTCTATAGTAGAGGCTTTTGAGAAGGTCTCAAAGGGAGCAGTAATTATCGCGCACAAGCTAGTGTTGGCGCAAAAGGAGATTGCAGAGCTTCAAGCGGCAAATGAGGCTGCTACGCGACGTAGATCGCACAAAAGAAAGCGGGTTCAAGCAGAGGGGACCTTAACAGTTGAGGATGGGGCTTGTTTAGCTGCTCTCAAGGACTTTGGGGCGCGTAGTGATGGGAAGAAGCCAAAGAGGCGGGTGCGCGCTGAAGTAGGTGAACCATCTCAACGACGGTGTACACAGTGCAAAGAGACTGGGCATAATGCGCGTACCTGCCAGAAGGTAGTAGAAGTAGACTCTGAATGATATCGCATCTTGCTTTGTACTATACAGGGCCAAAGTGGGCTATTTTGCGCCAGAATGGGGTGGTTTTGGTGGGGGCTTGGCAAAAGTGATCCACGAGCCCGGGTGATCCACGAGCCCGTGAGGTACGTTATACCTCTTACTTTATTTCTCTAACCCTTGTACTTTTCTTCTATCTATATCTTACTATTTCCCCTTCTATCTACTCTACATCTCTTTATTCCTGCTTCTGTTTATCTTTAATTCTTAACTCTTTCTTTCCCTCTTTTTCTTTCTTATTATACTATTACTCTTCTTTTTTTACTTCCTTTGTAATCTTCTTCTTAGTTTTACTATATATCTTCTACTCCTAGCTATACTTCTTGCAGAATAATACAACT